GAAACATTCGCTCTCTCATCTAGAAAGGGCTTGGTAATGGGTTCAGAAGCACTGCAGATCCATGTTTGGACAATAAGCAACAATTTGCCCTGGAAATAAATACTTCTGGGGCCAAATGGTTTTCCCATCCAAAAAAAAAGAAGAAAAAAAAAAAAAATGGGAAACATGAAGCCTACTTTTCCCTCTCCAACGTTAAAACATCAACTCTTCATAACATTTTCAGTTCTCCCTTGCAAACCGTGGAACTGAAGTTTTTAATTCAAGATGACATCTTATTTTTAAATTGAAATACTTTATGTCAAAACACAGAACAAAAATAACTACAGAGCTCACAATGGCAGCCTTTCACAGCCACCAATCACCCTGAAGAAGTAATTTCTAAAGCAAGCCTTTTAAACGGGAACTAAACTCTCGTGTTCGTTACGGGTCTCCTTTGATATCCTGTTTCTATTTCTGGCCGCCTGGCTCTCCGCCAGCTGAGCTCAGAAAGAAAATAAATATGTATATATGTATTTATTATTATTTATTTTAAAGAAGGAAAGAGCAACGACGGCTCGTGGAAACCTCCACCCGAAGGGTCTCCCCCTGCAGCTGCGCACCCGACGGGGCGCCCAGTAAAGAGCTTTTCTCCCTTTCCCCGTGCCCCGCACCCTCCGGCGGGCGGAGGAGAGGCCCCGCGGCCGCCGGTCTTCCTCCCTTCCCCCGCTCCCCTCGCTCCCAGGCACGGGGTCCCCTCCGCCCCGCTCCGTTCTTACCTGCCACCGGGGAGGGCTTGCGCAGCACCAGCCACCTACTCTTCCACTGCAACGAGAGGCAAAAGGACAGGGTTAGCCAGGGCCGGGCAGACAGGGCTCTATTCCCCTCGCGAGGAGGGGGCGTCGGTCGGAGACCCCCGGCCCGTGCCTGCCGCGTGGCCGAACCGAAAGGGCACAGGCTAGCTCGGACCTTTTTTCCATCTCTCAACTTGACGTGACCCTCCACCACCACGGAATCCGTCATCTTCAGTCATGATTCCGGACAGCTGCGCCCGGCTCGCTGCTCCCTCCCCGCGCTCTGGCCGAGGGGTCACTTTCAAAATAGCTTTAGTAGGTCCCCGCTGAGGCACAGCGAGCGCGGCGGGCGAGCGGCCAGCGCTGCCCGGCCCTCCCCGGCGCCCCCCGCACCGCCGTGCAGGGGCCGGGCCGGCTCTGGCTGAGGGGTTCTTAGAAAGCCCCCCGCTGTTTCTGCATTAGTGTATTTTATTGCTATGTAGAGTTTGTGCTTGCTTTTGTTTTATCGCTTCTTCGGGGTTTAAGTACAGGCAGGTGCGAAGCGGAGCACCCACAGCCCGACGAGGGCCGCCTCCGCCGATCTGCTCCGGCCGCGACCCCGGGAGGAGCCGAGCTTTGCGGGCAGCCCGGCTCCTCCAGCGCCCGGGGCCGGAGCGAAAGCCCGGAGCGGATCGCCGCTGCCCGGCGGCCGGAATTCATGGAGCCACGCAATGGTCTGACCTGGAAGCGTCTTAAAGCCCATCCGCCCCCATCCCCTGCCGTGGGCTGGGTGCCCCCCACCGGCTCAGGATGCCGAGAGTCCACCCAACCCGACCTTGAGCACCCCCAGAAATGGGCTGCCCACAGCTCTCTTGGCAGCCTGAGCCATGCCCCGCTGCCCTCTGAATGAAGAATTTCTTCCTAAATTTCCCATCTTTAGTTTAAAGTCATCCTCCCTTGTCCTGTCGCTGTCAGATCATGTTAAAACTCCGTTTCCCTCCTGTTTATGAACTCCCTTCAAGTACTGGAAGACCACAGCAAGGTCTCCCTGGATCCTTGCCTTTTCCACTCCTCTTTCAAAGTGTGATTACCCCTTCCCTTGGCTCTCAGTCATACCCCACCTCTAAGAAAAACACTTATTTTTTTTTCTTTTGCAATGCAACTGCCATGAGATAACAGCCCACTTACCCCTAACCGAAGCTGCTACAATTAATAGAATAAGATGTGTTAATTATGTCTTTAAATTCATTTCAATGAGAAATGGACTAATTAGAGTCCATTATTCTAAAAATACTCCTATTGCGTCTTATTTGATGCTAATTAGTCCTTCAGATCATTTTTTTTTCCAACAGCAGCACAGCACATTTTTCTTTCAATAGTACAATAGAAGGGTTTTTTTAGATGTTTGCTTTTATTTCTTCTCTTTGAATTGGTCAGTTTGCATGGAATAACCTGTAATTTAATAAAACCATCCTTAAGTGTGTGTCGTAATGAATCGGGACATCATTGTTCAACTGGTTTTGCATTCTAATCCTATTTCAAGTTAAATGCTAGGGAAAAACATCAAGGAAACTTTCCTGGTAAATTTTAACACTATTTCATTTTAACATAGGCGATGAGCATTTAAATAGAGCCGGGCAGAATAGGGGAAACATTTCCACTGGGAAATGCTCGAGAGAAAGACAGGAGGTGCTGGAGTGGCCATATGGATGTGACCAGCCTTCTCAGAGGTGTGAGAGTGAAGGCATAAATCTTTTTGCTAACCCTGGGTGTTTGCTTGCCATCCCAGTCTAGGACTGGGTGGATTTAATGTAGTGCTATTCAACACAGCAGAGCACCAGATCATGACATCGCCATCAAATCAGTGCAATGACAAAAAAAAAAAAAAAAAGAAGGAAGAAACAAGCCACTTTGAAAGCCACAGATTCAGTCTAGTAAATTCACGTATGACAATTCAATGAAGATTTATCATTTAAGCTAGTAAGTGCAGGAAATAGAAGTTTTGCAAGTGAAACAGTCTCTGTGCTTTTAAGAATTATAAGTTAGTGATTATACTAGCTTTGCTACATCTAGAAGCAGCATGCATTTTGAAAACAAGAGAGTTAAAAATCTCTGCACAAATTGTTTGAAACACCATTCTATCACCTTTCTTACTGAGCAGCCACCATCTTTATAGCAAGAGGAGATAGAGAATACATACAACACAAAACTTCCATATTAAAAGCTTGAGTAGTGTGGATGGATATCAATTTAAAAGTGAAAACAAAAAGTCACAGAAGAGGCATAGATGTTCAAAACAGCATAAGCTTTGTGTTGGAATCTCTTCCAAATGAATCACTTCCAAAGAAAAGTAAATAGTTCCTTCAAGCTGATTTAGTACTTGTCCTTCATCAGTAGGTACAGTTAGTCTTGTTAAACAGTCACATTCATTTCACAACGTTAAGCAAGCCAGACTCGTACTGCAAATGGCCAGAAAGGCAAACTCAGACAATAATAGTCTTCAGACAGTTTTGGAATCAGGAACTTGGGACTTTCTTCTTAGTGTTCACAGTATTTACAACTGAAAATCTTATCCAAACTTTGTGACTCATTTTTTTTCTCCACTCATACACATGTCTATGGGAAATTTTGCATGACACTTGTATGAAACTGGGAGGACCACCGGCTTTAAGTGATTCTTCTGCAGGGCATTTGAGGTACTTCTTGGCACAGAGAAGCATTGTTTCTTTTTCTACCAGCTCTCAACTTATAAAAAACCTGTACAAGCATTCAAAGGTATAGTTGTAACTATATACACAACACAGTAAGAGACAGAGGGTAAATGTTTTTATTTACTATAGAATCACAGAATTGCAGTTTATATCATTTTTCTAGATGAGCTCTCCAGCCCTCTGATCATCTCAGTGCCCTCCTCTGGACCTACTGCAAGAGCTCCACGTTCTTCCCGTACTGGGGGCCCCAGGCCAGGACGCAGTACTGCAGATGGGGCCTCACAAGAGCTGAGTAGACAGGGACAATCACCTCCCTCTCCCTGCTGGCCACCCCTTTTTCAATACAGCCCAGAACACAGTTGGCTTTCCAGGCTGGAAGCGCACCCTGCTGGCTCACGTCCAGCTTCTCATCCACCAGGACCCCAAGTCCTTCTCTGCAGGGCTGCTCTCAACAGGTTCTTCCCCCAGTCTGTATAAACACCTGGGATTGCCCCGACCCAAGTCAGCACCCTGCACTTGGCCTTGCTGAACCTCATTATTTTCACGTGGGCCCACTTCTCCAGCCTGTCCAGGTCCCTCTGGATGGCTTTCCTTCCCTCCAATGTATCGACTGCACAGCTCAGCTTGGTGTCATCCGCAAACTTGCTGAGGGTGCACTTGATGCCATCGTCTGTGTCGTTGATGAAGATGTTGAAGAGCACCAGTCCCAAGATTGACTCCTGAAGGACACCGCTTGTGAGCGGCCTCCACCCTGACACAGAACCATTGATCACAACCCTTTGGCTGCAACCAGCCAGCCAGTTCTTAATCCATCAAACAGTCCATCCTTCAAATCCACACCCATCCAATTTAGAGAGAAGGATGTGGTGAAGGACCATGCCATTCACCGGGACTAAGAAATCCATGAGGACACTGGCAGCATTATAAAACAAAACCCTCCTTTTTCTGTATTATCTGAACAGTTAAATAAATTGTTATTACAAAATCTAAGACATCTTCAAAACACTGCCAAATTTAAGAAAGGCTTGGACATTTTCTATCCAAGGTAAAACATTTGCATTGCTATCCTGTGAGAAGAAGCAGAGGGTCTGCAAAAAGCCCCACTGTGTTGAACAGTATTATCTACCAACTTAAACCTTTTCTCAGCAATAAGCTTTGTGCTTTCAGGAGGTGTTGCGTTAACTTTGCCAGAAAATTGCATACCAAATTCAGCAGAGCTCTGAAGCACTTTTCTATTTTTATTGCAACATAAAAATATGCTTACATGTTTTGAATCAAACCCTAAATCCTCTGTTTTCTTCCCAGAAGTAGTTTACTGTAGTTAGCTGGGGAGCCTATCTGCTGACGTCTTTCAGCTGAACTTTAACGAAATTACTTCTGAAGGAAAGATAATTCTATTTTTGGCGTTCATCCTTTTCTGAAAATACAAGGCCAACATTGTTACAGGTTGTTTTAGGGGATGACAACTCCACCAGAAACTTTTAAATACTTATTTTCACGTAATCCACCAAAAGATAAACAGTTTTAGATGTCAGTACACTTAGTTTTGACATGTTAGCTTTATTAAGACAAATAAAGACAGTCTCACATGTTGAGCTATCCACAGCCCTAAAACTGCAGCTCAGAGTTACTGATATCAGAGGGATGAGGACTATTTTTAGTGGTCTGGTTTGGAATTTCTAAGAATTACCACAATAATTTTCATACTAGCTTATAATAAAATATTTATGCCACTTTAATGAAACCAAAAGGCTCCTGGACACTATTTGAAATGATATCATAGTTAAATGTTCAACTAGCTTTTCGAGGGGCTATCCTCTCATTAATCCAATTTACATAGTTTGTTACTCTTGTATATACTCCAGGCTTGTTGACTCTGGCACAGCCATCTCCCCAGCTGATGACTCCATAAAGGTAAGAGATTTCGTTATTCTCACATGCCAGAGGTCCACCAGAATCTCCCTGTGTTAAAAGTGAGGAAAGATTATTTAACTTGATAGAAAATCGTTGGAAAAACAGTTTAAATGTAAGTAGAAAGAAATTTTTTCCTGTTTTAAAGAGAATATTATTTTCAGAGCAAAGTTGGAAGGCATTTTCTACCAATTTTTTCCACAATTACATGGAACTGTGTTGCCTTTATAAGATCTCAGTGATAAACGAAGTCCTGCACCTGAAATTAATCTACTTTGTCAGAACTTTCTTATGTCTGCACATCTCATCTCAGTGACTGTAACTTTGGTATCAATGCACAGCTGTTTCTCAGTCTATGCAGCTCTCTTCAAACCATTTGTCTTTGTTTTTTTCCTTCTCCACTTTCTTCTTTCTCTTTGAACATGTTTATGATCTCTATAGCAGTTCTAGCATGCAGTATACATTGTATTCTTTGCTTCACAGAGTGTCATTGCCAAGTATCAGCTATGTGCTGCCTGTTGCCAAAAATTATTCTAATAGAGCATAACCCCATCAAAATGAATTGAAGATAAAATCTGAAGGTTTAACTAAGAAATAACCTGAACCTTAGTTTCACACACATCTCATCTGTCACCACAGCAACTCCATACCCTTTATTCAAGGGCCAGGGTGTGACATAACTCAAAAAGAGACAAAATATAGTAAGAATTTGAAGCTCTTCCATTAAGAATGGAAGTCATGAAACTTTTTCTAATGGACTGTTACCCTACACCGTTAAAATCCATGCATTGTAATAACCTCAAATATTTTCTCCTCCAAATCCACCACTATTCCCCACCTCCTATACAGCTACTCTTATTTCCTCTCACTGAGAGGCAGCAGCTTGAAGGTTTGGCTTATCTGCCACCTGGCCTTCCATCACAGTACCATCTCACTCAGCCAGCAGCTCAGGCAGCTTCCCTCTTTTGTGTAGCCCCCTGGCTTTTATGAAGGTAAGGGAAACATAACACCCTGAAGGGTTGTTGTTGTTGGGTTGTTTGGTTTTTGCTTTTTTTTTTTTTTTTTTTTTTTTGGCTCCTTTGTAAAATTTAATAGATATTAACAAGTTAAAAAAATAACATAGGAACAAACAGTGCAGTCACATTCAATGCATTTTTTTTTTTTAAAAAACTTTCTTTTCTTTAGGATGACTGTAACGTCAAAAGTAAGCACTGTAACATTTCTTCTAATTATACACATTTATATTCTTTGTCTGGAGATGACTCATAACATTACCTGACAAGCATCAGATTTGCTGTCTAAGTAGCCAGCACAGAACATATTTTCACTGATTTCTGTTCCATAAATTTCAGGGCTTCTGCACTTCTCCTCAGGAATAATTGGAACCAGTGTTTCTTGCAGCACATCTGAGTAACCAGTTATATCTTTAAAAAATTCCCAGAGAGGAAAAAAATTAGTTTTTACAAAATGCAAATAGCTTAACATGGGAACTCAACACAAGATAGATATAACATATAAACAAACTTAACATATGTCATGTTATGGATCTCTTTGAAAGATAGCAATTGTTCTTAGTGCTGAGATCATTCCCTAATTCTTCAGTCAGAGTCCATGTCCACTAGAATAGCAAAAATTTCATGCCCAAGCATCAATTCTCTTCAGGTTTTCTCCTTTCCCAGGGACCTGGGAGTACTTTGTCAGCACTCTTGTGATTTCCTCTTTCCTGATGTGATTTTAAATCATAAATTTATTAAAGGCTGTATAAAATCTTTTTGTCTTTAAATCACACAGTTAGATTAGTACAACCTTTGCTCATGCTGAGTTTCTAACGAATATGAGGAGGCCAGGTCCCCCCCATCCTTCACCAATCTGTATAAATCTCTGTTATCTCCTAACCAAGGCAGCATTGGCCATATCTCACAGTCCTGAAATTCCTTTTCCCAAAGGATGAGAAAAAGATGAAGCATTTCCTTCTTGCCTTTCTTAAACTGAATGTAGCCCAAAGCCCCTCCTGCCTTTTCCAATAGATACTTCAAAGGTTTCCTGCATGGTGAAGCTAAAGATTTTGCTTCCATCACTGACCACTAAACTGACTGTGTTTGGTTTGCAGTCTTTAGTATCTACCTTGAGAAACCTGGAGTAGGAATCACTTAACAGTTCTTGGCACCTACAGCTAAGCTACTTGCTCCAGGCTCCACTCACTTCCCCTTATTTCTTGTTCATGTGAACCACTCACTGAATTTCAGGGAATATAAGGAAGGCTTGGGAAGACTATTTCAGATGTAAATGATACACAAATCCAAAGGTAGGTAATCCAATCAGAAGTCCCTTGGAAAATATTTTACAAGACTACCAGCTGTGCAACATATCCTTGAGCATTTTGCTTAGCTTTCAACAGTGTTTTCCACAGATATCACCTCTGCCATTTCACTTACTCTCATGCTTGTGTCCCCATCCAGAAATCTGACATTTGAACTGATCAGGGAAAATGGTGTTGCTTTCTGGCAGGCAGATGGGCTGAACAAACTGGGACTTGACGGCACAACGTTGGCCATTCTTCTTCAGCTTAACCAAGGCTGCAGAGTAGAAAATACAGTAGGAATAAAGTGTCTGTTCCCTTTTTTGATAGGATTGGCAGCAGTGGGTCTCAGATACAACTTTAATTATCCCCTAAGCCTCTCTCAATTAAGATATTTCAATCAAAGACAGACAGACTCATCTCAACAGCACCTGATTTCACATTAAATTGAATGCTGAAATATTCACCTACTCCTCTTGTGGGAATATTTATTTTTTGCTGCTCTCACTGAACAGATTTTTCTTCACTGCTTTTGTAGAGAAGGGGGAAGACAGAAAATATGTGTCTCCTCCCACCCTAAAGTTAAATAACAGTGACATATCCACAACTTTCAGCTGCAATAAGTGGGATGTGCAAGCATTTGCTGCTTCTGAAAGTTTGGCCACCTGCCTAATTCTACTTTGATTTTTAAAAAATTAATTATTGCAAGAGCTGATGTATTACACGCTCTTTGTTATCACTGAGTTCAGCAATATTCAAATTTTGGAAAACTAAGGACTAGAAAATTAGGCTATTTCAAAACCAAGCTTCTGAAAGCTGCTGAGAATTACACAGCCTACACAACTTTTCTCTTCCCTCATGAGGCTGAAAACAGCATAAATAAGAAGCTGTGGAGCGCTGTGAGTTCAACAGTGAAAGTGGATGCCAAAAGTAGCAGAAACTTTGCTTTTCCTGTAGCAAACCTTTCATGATGAGCCATAAGCTGAGGTTGTGTTTGGTGTAACAAGGGCAGTGTAATGGGTTTGAGCACACCACTCAAAGAAAGTAGAGCTGAAGTACTGTGGCTATACCTATTAAAATTTCATACCACAGCTTTCAGAAGCTGCAGGTTTTCTGAACACAGCGGTGTGGAAAGCAAGAGATCCCATTGGATAATCTCATTTCTCTATGGACTACTACTTTTGGCTTTTGTGGAATACATGACAGTATCTCACAGACCAAGAAGCCCACAAAGATTGCTCCAATATTAAGCAGCTTGTCTTCCTCACCTTCCCCTTCTCCCTCACCAATTCTGCCTGTTTCTAAATCTCCCACACTTTCCATCAAACATTCATGTGGTAGCTTGTTTACTTATAAAATGCATTTTCAGCACCAAATAAATCTGCTGCTGCATCAGCAGAAGCCACTGGTAAGGCAGAATATGCCCACAAGACTTTCCCCCAAGTTTCCACCTGCTTGTTTGCAGTTGTCATGGTTCTTAGGAACTCCATCTCCAGGTGACCCTGAATTTAGACACTGCACACATGATGCATGCCAAATTTCAGAGTAATCCAGAAAGTTTGGAGATCCCGAAGTGTAAACTGTGATTTACACCAGGATATTTCAGAGCAAAGCAATGCCCCACAGCAAGTTCATTTCTTGGTACACTCTGACAGAGTTCCCACCAATACAGAATCTAAATGCTTTTTGCTACACAGTGGAAAATATTCACCATCTGGGAGCAAAAAAGCCAGTACATTCCTGACCTAAGCTATCCCTGATGCCAGACTATTAAATAGTTTCATAGACAAAGTGCTCACACAGCTTCACGCTCCAGGGAGATACGCCAACTTCCATAAAAGCAGATTAGAAAGTAAGAAGTAAGTTTCTCTCCCATTGTCGTTCTGAGTAATATTATAAGGTCAATCAGAAGGGCATTTGAATTTTGACTGATGAGACAGCTGATATTTAAATGTCTCTCCTCATTGTAAAGAATGTTCTTAGAAACATTGATTTTTCAGAGCAGATAGGGCTATTATATTCATCTAGTCAGATGCTCCATACAATACAGACAATAAAATTTTACCAAGTAATTCCTGCATCAAGCCCACAGTTTCTGGTATGGTTGAAAAAAATGCATAATCACATGAAGACTTGAAGCGATGATGAATCTGCCATACATCAAGGTAAATTGCTCCAAAGGCTAATTACCATAATTATTTAAAATTTGCAATTTATTTCTTATCTGTATTTGTCTAGTTTTCAGATGCTCTTATTTCTCTGTTAGAGATAAGAACCCTCCGTTCTTAAAAACTTCTCTTAATGTCTATTATTTTTCCCCTAAGAAAGCAGTTTTCAATACATCAGCTAAACTTGGAAGTCAGCTAAGCAGGAAATAAAACTACAAGAAAAATACTCACCAATATCATGTTCAGTAGGGCTGAACACTGAATACTGAGGATATAAGATGTATTTCTCTATTTCAAATGTTTGTGTTACATCGGTAGTTCTATTAAAGAAGTGCTGACCAAGAACAACTTTAATAGAGGATTTTTGAGGACTGCAATACAAAAGAGAGAACAAACAATTCTGTATTTAGAAACACAAATGAAAACCAGTTTCCAATGGCCATGTGCACCATGAACTGTTAATAAATTTAGATCCCCACCATGCCCATTATTTACTCTCTCATAATGCCTTGTCTTTCTCCCAGTCTTCTACTGTGGGCTAAGAGAAAGCTGACTGAAGTTATAGTGAGTTCCATGTGCTGTGGGCCATTGTTAACCTAATTAAAGGCTGTTCCTTCTTGACAGAATCACCAAATCACTGAATCAAAAGAAACACTAAAGATCATCTAGTTCCAATCCCTAGCCATGGGCAGGGACATTTCCTACTAGATCAGGTTGCTCCAGGCTTCATCCGACCTGGCCTTGAATACCTCCAGAGACAGAACATTGGCAGCTTTGCTATGCAACCCATACCAGTGTCTCACAACCCTCATATTGAAGAATTTCTTTTGAATATCTAATCTTCTAGTTAGTGATAAGACCCCTTGTCTTATCACTACACTCCTAGACAAAGAGTCCTTCTCCAGCTGTCCTGTAGGACGTTTTTATGTTCTGGAAGGACACTGTGAGGTCTTTCTGGATCCAGACTCTTCTCCAGTGTGAACAATCCCAGTTCAGCTTGTCCTCACAAGAGAAGACAGAATTGGGAAGAAAGGGAAACACGGGAATAATCAGGAAGAGTTTGGAAAGACAATGAAGAAAGGGAAACACGGAAGAGTTTGGAAAGACAATAACTTTTCTAGCTTTGAAAGCAATAGAATTAAAATTTCATTCTTGCTTTAAAACCAACTTGATTTGCACTCACCTAAGTCCACAATCAGTTGAGCCACTAAGCGCCCTCAACATAGAAGAGCTCAGATGTTTAGTTACCCTGCATAGGAGCAGAAAAACTTATCGTGCATCATGCACAGATCCAGAGTGGTCAGTACCATTACAAAGTTTCCCCAGCTGTGATCCTGTGCATCACTGGTGGCCATCAGAGTGAATTCTGCTCTGATACTGAGCATAAAGTAATAATAAAAAGCAGTGTACTTGCTGGAGAGAGATTCTGACTAATTGAAGCACAGAGAATAGGCAGCTACCCTGCAACAATTACTATGTGCATGGTTAACAGACCTTAAAGTTTTTTTGAAGCTGGAAAGCAAGAAAATATATGTATATATTCTTCAATCAATATGTAGGGCCATGATTTTCTCAACACCCTTGTGGAAATAAACTAGTCCCTTTGCAAATCAGATTTTGAGAACATGAAATAGAGTGGAAGCTCATTTCCCAGGATAGTATTTTTAAAAGATTTTAAAAGCACAAAATAGTTTCATTCTGACATACAGATGATTCATAGAGGAGAAGAAATAAAAAGGGAGAGGCTGCAGAATAGGAAAAGAAAAAAAACTACCAAGTTAGCTCCACAAGGATCTATTGTCGCCTAGTGGAAGGCAGTTGAAATTGTGGCTAACTTAGAAGTACTAAACATACAGAACAGTGCAAATTACAATGCAGTAATTATGGAAAATCTGTATGTAACAAACCACCAGCTGGAAGTGGGTGGAAATGTCCTGAATAGCTGCCAAAGTTAGTAGCTATTTCACAACATTTGAAAAACAAATGCGTTGTGGCTCGAGCTCCAAATGCTTCAAGTACAGCATTCACAACAGTGTTATTAGGTCTACAAGCTATCAGTGTATGCATTCTGGCACAAGGCTTTCTGTTTCTCTTGGCTCCTTTACTATGCAAAGGAACAATTTGTATGAAATGATGTAATATTTTTACCATCTACATGATCAAACTGAAATCAGAAAAAGCGTTCAGCATTTGTGGAAAATTAAATATTAAGAATAAAGTAAGGGCATCCTACTGACAATCATTTCCCTGGTGACCTGCAGCTGGAGGCAAAAAAAAAAAAAAAAAAAAAAAAAAAAAAAAGTTTTTTTTAAATCACCGCTTGATTCCTTCAGCCTTTTTGAACAAAAACATAGCAGTAAACAGTCATCTCTGTTACACCTCAAAGCAGGAGTACGCTTGCAAAAAGGTAGCTGAGAAAAGACACACTTATGACTTCCTGCAGATACTTGCACATGCAAGCTCTCATTCCATGTCCTGACACCCAACACAACCTTACTCCTTTTGTTGGCCCATTTAGCATTTTTGAGTCTCCTTAAGTAAAACTGGGCTATGTGCTGTTTGTCAGTTCATGTGCTACACTCAGATTACCAGCAACTCCATTTGAAAAATTCATCATTTTGTATTCTCATCTTCCTTCTTGCTTGTTTCAATTCAGGTTTGTTGCGACTCACAAGAATACGGTGCCAGAGAGGAGGGGACCTACTGTCACACTTATGGCTGTGAGTTTACCTGTTAGCAAAACAGTGTGCTGCTGACACAACCCAGCAAGTCTGAATAAGAGTTCCAGCACAGAAGCTCTCTCCAATATATATAGCTGCTGTCCAGGGATGAGATCCAGGCAAAGATGAAGATCCTCCAACAATCCTAGGTCTCACAAAACTTCTTTTTTTGTGCCTTCTCCCACATGGCCTTCTGGGAACTGCAAAAGTGTCAATATCTTCTGGAACTGCTGGCCTCCTTTCCCTGCTTGCTAAGATACAAAGGTAAATGGCATCAGACTGCAAATTATGTGTTTCTAAGGAACACGTCATCATGTTTGGATTCTGGACTGAGCTTAGCCATTCCAGCAGCAAGGACTAGTATGCTTGTGTTAGTGTCATCAATCAAATGCACTGGAACCATAAATGGAGAATAGAAGGACCACATGATTGATTTTTCAAGCCCTATTCTGAAGGTCAGCTTTAATATAAACAACAGTTTAGTATTAATTTAGAGAAGGAACACTATCTTTAGTTTTCAGACTTGCATACTGTGTCATATGACTCCAGTCCTCTATTTGCTCACAGGGGGCCACTCATCTCCTGAGTCTGCTTCACAATTTGTTAAAAAGCATTATTTATTTCTGATGCCTTTCACGCTTCAGTAGAAACTCTGTTCATATTGGAATGACTGTAGTGGAAAGCAGTTGTACGACACTGCTGACATACAATATTGCACGACAAAGATCACCAGTCATATCACAACTCCAAAAAAAAAAAAGAAAAATAAAAAAGAAAAATAAGCTTGCTGTCACTTGATTTACTGTGAACACTAAAACATTCAGTATTCCTGGGAACAGTAGAACATTCAAAATGATACAGTGAAAGCTTTTTCCTAGTGTCAATAAATCTTTCGTCATTAATTCATAGGATGGATTTTAAGAGTTCTTTAACATACCACAAGATGTAATGTTACAGTATTCCCAAGACAAACTGTTGTCCTTCATGATGTAACACCATGGTTTCTCATCTTCATCTGGATTTCTAATGAATTCAAGGGAGAATAAATTAAATGCATTAACCATACTTTTATCCCAAGCTTCCCAGATGTTTTCTGTTTTTTCCTATTGCACTATGCAGAAGAGAAGACTGATAGGATCGTTAGGTTTGGAGCCACCTAAGAAAGCAGTGAAGAAACTGCTAACATCTGAATGGGCGAGTAACTTCTTAGTGGGGATCTTTATGCTTAAAGCTAGCAAAAAAATGAAGCTCATTAGGACCTAAAATGCAGAAACATGACTAAATATCTGTAGAATTTTCCTACAAGTATTCAGATGCATGAGCATGTTCACTCAGTTTAAATACAGTGCTTCAACAGATACCAGCTGAGCTATTTTCAGTACTGAGTCCCATGGGAGAGATTCCTCTGTTAGATTATTTTTTTCTAAGTGAGGAAATTCCACCACAGGTAGATTCATAGAAAATCCATACCAAGAATAGATAGCAAAAACTAATTTGAAGTACTCAAGTCCGTATTCCCTGGAGACAGTCTGAGGAAATGATAGACTACTTCAAGAAAATATTACATTCCTCAAAAGGCAATATCACAATCAATTTAGTCTTTTATTACTCTGATATTAGACTACTTTGGTGTTGATCCCATTAGGATTTCTCCACGGTACAGCAGAATTGCCTTTATTTGTGCTGCACAAGTAACCCAAAATTTGATCAGTTTAGTCCTCCCAGAGTACAAAACTTTGAAGACTCAGAAAGATCTTGAGTAGGCCAATAAAAATAGACAAGATAATTCAGGACTTTGGATAAACAGTAATTCTAATTTCAGCTGGATTTATCAAAAGTATTATCTGTTATTTTAAGATTCTTCAATATATTTTTTTTAAAATCTGACTGGTATGCAAAAAAGATTAAAGCACTTTCAAATTTTCAGAACTGAAGAAGCAACACAGGTTGAGTCATATTCCACCAACAATGTTTCTAAATTAGACAATTTGAAGAAGATATCTGAAAGATTATATAGTGCAGCAGAGATATCCCCAGAAATTATAACAAGCTGACAAAAAAGTGAAAAGCTTTTTTCTCAGCTTTACAGAACATTAACACATCAGCTCCTATATCATTTTATTATTTGCACTTGAAATCTGCAAGTGAATACTGTGCTTAAATGATGCAAATTGACAGGATCAGGATTTATCAAAGCACAAAATACATGCCCAATAAATTGCCATGATGTACTGGGACACCATACATTTCATACTTAAATGTTTGAATCCATACCAAGCCTTTGAAAGCAAGCCAACTTAGATTTGGCGGGGGGAGGAGAGGGAATAGTAATAGTTTGTTTTTGATAGAGAAGAAGAGCTGCTTGAGCATTCATGCATGCTTCTTGTCAACAAACAACTTCACAGAAGTTCATGGAGAAGTACCTAAGATGCTCAGCTTTAGGATGGCCTCTTCTAGAAAAATTTATTCTATTTATGGATATTGTTTGACCTCATGAAGAACTCAGAGACAAGGGGAATACAAAGTGACAGGAGAAAGCCATAAAAAGTTTCATTAAAACTGAACACAAAACTTAAGCAGAAACGTAATTTATACATGTGATTTGATCAAAGTTGAAATGCCAACATTATATTTTGCAGCCATTTTTCTTTGAAAGAAATTTGACATCCCAGCTCAGCATTACTGAAACACAGCAGCTTTGATTTTTTTCACTTTTAAAAGATTTTCTTTTATATTAAAAATTCCACAATATATAATTTGAAATAAATGCATTACACAAATTAAGTGGTTAACATCGTTCTCCTTTTGAATAGTCATTTTTGAGCAATTTATGCATTTTTTTAAGGTCTCATAAAAAAAAATAAAAAAAAAATAAAAAAATAAAAAAAAAAACAGGAAAAAAAGGATCAGGATTTTCCAACGTTAGAGTGTACCTAAGCTTCTTGTCAGAACCACATGTTAATCCATACAACCTACCAGATCTTGTCTTCTGGAAACTTTTACCCCATGTCAGGCCGCTAAGCCAGCCCAGATTTCCCAAGGCTGCTTTGATATTCCTGCCCCTTCTCTCTTCCAAATCTGCTCCCACAATATATCCATCCACCCCTCGTTTTATAATCACAGGGCAAACTTCCTCACCTGCAGTAAGAGAAGGGCCCCAAGCCTAACTGCAGTGCTTTCTCAACGCTGTCCACATGAAGCTCCTGGTAGAGTAAGTCCGAATTCCATGGCAAGCAGCTATGCCCAGAAATGGTCGTCTTGGCTGTACCTCTGTACTCGGTGCCATTGCCACGATAGCAGTGATGATTAGGAACTGTAGAGGAGTCGATTTTGTGCTAATTAGCTGTTAAATACTAGTTTTGCAGCTGAGGTGATGAAAGGCAGTGGACCCAACCCTATAGTGCATTTTACCTTTCAAAATAGTTTGTGTTTTTTTCAAATGAGGACTTTCAGCTTTAAAAAGCAGTTAAAACTTCTAAAACAGCCTCATTTTGCATGTGCATAAAAAACTATTACACAGGCAGAGAATTAGACCTAACATTCTTGTTGCATATGGAGGATTTTAGTCAGCAATCTACAGCAAAGTCAACAATATGGCTGAGAATAATCTTGCCTAATTTTAGAAACACCTGAGCTCATCAATGGAGACTCCCATTTTAGCCAATAAAGAGAGACAGGCATTGCTAGCATCAAACTAATCTAGCCTGTTTGGAATGACTTTTTCAAGGTGAAGATGAATCTTGATATGTGCTGTTGCCTATGTTGACTGAATCTCACTTGACAATCAAGTCAGCAAGCTCAGAAGGCTGCCTGTGTTGTAAATGAGTGAAAACAATCCTGTCCTGCCAATGAGTGCTTAAAAGGACTGATTTTGGAAAATACTTCTCTTTATGGCCTCGTACATATCCATATAGATATACTTACCTTACCCTTATGTATGTGTATATATACATAGAAACATATTGCAAATATCAGTTTTTCAAAAATGAAACAAGTAGGTTGAATTTTCATATTCAAATTCCATTTCTTTGTCACCTGAACACAGGATATTTCTTCAGATAGGTCTGACATACTCAGCTGCCAAGATCTATCAACAGCACATACCAGTGTTCTGGATGAAAAGCATATGGAGATGCATTTCTATACAAATAGCTATAGTGAGCAGAAAGTCTACACCTCAAAACATGGCTCAGAGTACTGCAAAGGAAATACAAAACCATCTAATGTACAAAGAGGATTAATCGTGACCAAGCCTTAGAGGGTTTCTTATCCAAGCCACGCTGGTATGACTTATTCTTGACATCTGCAAGACTGGTGGAATCTTCTGAACTTATAAACAAACTGAAATATATAGCATCAGTGTGTTGAAAAACACACTGTGAGGATAATCAATCACAGCACACAACGTGGACAACCATTATCAAATATCTGTTATTTTGACAGAACCTGGTGACACGTGAACCAGAGCGTACAAGCAGCACTGAAATGATGAACTGCAACAGGGAACTTCTGATCTCAATTATCCTTACAAGTCATCAGTACAGCAACAGCTCTCAAAACCACAAGCAAGCATATGGCATAAATATGGAAGCTGGGGGTCAAGAAGTTTGATGTAAGAATTTAATATGAGTTAGCAGAGAAATATGTAGTTTGCAAATCGGCTTTCTATCTTGGCCTGGCAGACACACCAGAGACAGGGAGAGTTTCTCCTCCTCCCTACCACTCCTTAAATCAAAGAACTTTTATTTCAATAACTGAGAATATTACATTAAATCAGATAAATATTTTAACAACCATAATCTCTGATCTCACATAATAGATTCTGTTTTCCATTTGCATTGCTAGCAATAGTAACCATTTCTTGGCAACCCTGCCATTTTTTTTCTGGGCAAGATGCAAGTTAAGCTGCTCTGTTTGCCTGAAACTGTCATGAAAATGCCACTATCATGCTGCATACAAAATTCTTTCACTTATCTAGGGAAATGCCAGGTGCTGTTTTTATTTGTAGTGTATTCATTAGATTCAGAAATTATTTAGAGTTGCCTGCTTTTATGAGGATGAAACATGATTCTGTTTCATTGCAGAACTATGACCATATACTGCAACACTGATGGTTTGGACATCTTGCAGATGGTGTTTACAAGCTGTGCTCAACCTCATCAGGCTAAAAATCCAATGCACCTCTGTTTTTGCATATCTGCCAGTCATCACAAAAGTTGCTAAAAGATTATAATTAGAAGAATTTGGCCCCTTTCTAAATCATCATCATTTTCTCCTCCAAGAAGTTTGCATTACATATTGCACTTGTTGCGAGGAATAGTATTATCTCTTAATCTGTTTTTGTTTGGGTTTTTTTGTTTTCTAAGAAGTATTTTTGGCACAAGAGTAAACTAACTTAATCTCACATCTTGTGGAGGAGCATCTGGGTTAACAGAGTTGTTTCCTCACTTTACTGGCTTGTATTACTACTGTGGCACCCTCATCACAGCTATTAAAGAGAATCTTGTGAAGGATATAAGGCCAGCAAGAAATATATCCAAAATCTAATACATTTTTTTCTATAATTCAGGAAAAACAACACTCAAAAAATAATCTCAGGAGCTACAGCAGTCCTACAGATCTTTTTCTTCTTCTTTGTTTTTTTGTCCTTTAACCATTGCAGCACTGAAAACTCTCCTTTTCCTCTCTCACAGGCAGTGTGTAGGAGGTCTGCTTCCAGCAATTCTTAATGGATTGCTCTGACTGGAAATTGTTCACTATGAATTCTTTATAGTTTCCTTAACTCCTCATAACTCTGAAACACATTATTTTCTTATGTGGAAGTAAGGAACTGAGGGTATAACATACGTATTTTTTTTATTCACTTCCTGCGGCACTGCCAATTAGCATTAGAGTAGAAATGGCCTGAAGCTTCAGATGAAACTTGCTTCAGTGAAAGCATGGATCTTACACTTTTCTGAAAATCATTGAAATTTGAAAAAAATTTCCAGTTGTGTTTTATTCTGAAAATCCAAGAGGTGCAAATAACTCACTTAAAACATTCACATTGTGTTCTGATGGCGTATTTTATCAGCATGTCATGCCAATTCTTTTCTTTTAAATTTTAAAAAGCAGTTTCAGGTCTTAAAATTAAAAGCAAAATGAAATAGCATTTATTCAACAAGTTCTAATTGGTAACTTCCTGAAAACATTTTAGAAGGCCTTTTTGTGACAGAGCTTTAGGCTCTATATTTACATACCTGAACATTTCTATGTTTCTTTTGGAAGCCCTTCTGTAGAAAACAATGCAAATTACAGATGTTTTCCCCAAATATCTCATCAGAAATTTCCCTAATGTCTTTGAGATTCACCTGTATTGTCTTTTCAGATTTTGCCTATACTGTTACATTCTGTTAACATTCTTTTCTCTGATGGCCCTTATCCTGGAGCAGAATAGCTTCAAGTTTCATTTCATTCACTAATGCTTTTTTTATTTTTTATTCCTGACAAACCCATAAGGCTTTTATTAAATACAACGTTAGATGAGTTTCTTTCTTTCTACTGCTCTGCATTAGCTTGTGACAGAAAGGGAGAGGGGTAAGAAGACAAAGACAAAAGCCCCTCTCTCTGCTTGAACTTGCTCTTACAAGATGTCTTCCTCATTGTCTCAATTATCAGTTATCCAGATGGAAAAGATCTTCAGAAAATTAGAACCAAAAATTAACCTTGGTGGAATTAAGAGACCATCTTACACCCAGAGCCTTCCTGGAGTATATGCCCACTTCTGTTTCAGTGCAAAATGTATGCTCTGCACAGGTCAGAACAAGCTCTTCAGCTCTCACTAGATAGCAGATTATTCACGAGAGAGTATTGATATCTATTTGAAGCCTTCTAACGTGTCTATCACTTTATATTTCAGTTTCACATTTCATCTATTAGCAATGACGATAAATACAAATGAACAATGAAGTTTCATGTCTTTGCATGCATCTCAGACTCATTGGCTGCCTGCAGAAATCCCTGTCTTTCCTTGATCTCCCTAGGAGTTCCCGTATCTCCTGTCCTGGGTAACTGCAACCTTCCAGGATAAATACAAACATGACACAAAGGCATCTTCAGAATCCACAGACACTGCTCTTACAGACTTCCTCACTACTTTGCATGGAAAAACCCTCAGCTGTTTTGAGAGCAGAAAGGCAGGCACTGCCACATGAAGTGAAGCAAACACCATGCTGGACCATCCCTGGCTCGTAGCAAACTGCTTCCCATTGCCGTGTAACCCCTCTCTCTGAAAGTGAGAATAGCAGCACCTACTCCCACTTTTGGATCTTGCTAATTAATGAATATAAACAGAAATATAAGGAAGTGATATTTCTACATAGCTATATTTCCATATAATTCTGTCATATATCTAGATCTCAATATTTCTATTTGGGCTTATGATTTAATACAATAGCAGATAATACATATAACAAATTTGTAACAAATAATTGGTTCATATTATGTGCTGCTTTCCCACCTCCAGCCTGACTGCACATGCCACTGAAATATAACCCCAAAGAAACCATGGCTCGATTACAAAACATACTTAACATCTTTAAGCCAAAAACAATGAAAAAATATGAGAAAATTGGCAGCCCTTTGTAATGCATTAAATATAATAGAAACTCACCATGTAAAAAAGGAATGGTTTTAGGGCTGGAAAAACAGGGTGATTTATATGGCACAAAAGATCTTTTGAAGTTGCATCCTAACTTAAGGATTGCTCACATCACTTGCTGCTGCTGGACTTATGATTTAAAATATCTCTCTTTCAACAAATCTTTGCAATCTTGCATTTGCAAATACTCTAGATCAACTGAGGCAGAACTGAAGAGCTGATTTGTTCTTCTTTTATTAAACTTGATTTACAAATCTACCTTCTGAGTAAGCTGAGTCCTTTTAAATAGAGGTTTAAATTCAGAAATCTATAAACTGAAACAGAAAAAGAACCAGACTTTCTGGCCAGTGGGGGAGCAGTTGCTCATTAGAGAGCCAGTAATGAGAGGAGGATCTCTGAAGCACCTGAAGATCCAAGCATGGCCTGGTGAGAGAAAGTAGGCAATTGGAGAGGGAAGTGCTGCAAAGGAGATTTCTTCAGTAACTTTTAGCTTCTGAGCTGTACCACAAGCCCACCGAATCTTCCCCTCAACAGCCTCCCTAATTGACAGTTATATAGCATAACACATTACTTGGATCAAAGGGTGTCAGTCCTCTCACATTTTCAAGAGGACGTGCCCACTGTGAAACACAATTAACTGATACCACTGTGCTGTCCTCAGTAAATAAAAAATG